TCAAAGTCACTAATCATCCGAGAGATGCAAATCAAAACAACAATGAGGTACCATCTCACACCTGTCAGAATGGCCATCATCAACAAATCAACAAACGACAAGTGCTGGAGAGGATGTGGAGAAAAAGGAACACTTGTGCACTGCTGGTGGGAATGCAGACTGGTGCAGCCACTATGGAAGGCAGTATGGAGGTTCCTCAAAAAATTGGAAATGGAACTCCCATTTGACCCTGTGATCCCACTTCTAGGAATATATCCCAAGAAACCAGAAACACCAATCAGAAAGGATATATGCACCCAGATGTTCATAGCAGCACAATTCACCATAGCTAAGATCTGGAAACAGCCTAAGTGCCCATCAGTAGATGAATGGATTAGAAAACTGTGGTACATCTACACGATGGAATACTATGCTGCTGTTAAAAAGAAGGAACTCTTACCATTTGCAACAGCATGGATGGAACTGGAGAGCATTATGCTAAGTGAAACAAGCCAGTCAATGAAGGAAAAACACCACATGATCTCACTCTTTCATGGATAATTAAGACCATTACAAACTTTTGAACAATAATAAATACAGTGGCAGAGCTGCCTCAAACCGATTGTCGGACTGCAGTGGGAAGGCCAGGGAGGGTTGGGGGACAGGAGGGAGGGGAGTAAGAGATCAACCGAAGGACTTGTATGCATCCATATAACCATAACTAATGGACATAAGACACTGGGGGGTAAGGGAGGGCAGGGGCTTGTCAAGGGTGGGGGGGGAAAAAGGACACTTATGTAATACCCTTTGTAATACTTTTAGCGAAAAAAAATAAAATAAAAAAAAAATAAAAAAAATAAAAAAAATAACAGGATACTGAAATAAAAAAAAAAATTAGTTTTCTTAGCAAGCTAATGCATGTGTAATATTGGGAAGGTCAAATAGTGCTACAAGGGTTATTGCAAAAGCCGCAGGCCCTGCCCCAACCCTGCGGGTTTAACGTTTTCTCCAGCGGCTGCTCCGGTGCAGAATTCTGGGTGGACGTCATTTGGCCTCGGAATTGAGAAGGCGCTGGCCGCTCCGTGTTCTCTAGTCCCAGAGTTGCCGCTCAGAGGCCTGACGCCAGTCTGTCTCTTGACCATTTATCTGCGCCTGCGTTTGTTCTCGTTTCTGGGAGGTTTCAGGATCCTCTTTTTCATCTTGAAGTTGTCTAACGAGGTGCTTGGAATAGGCCTTTTCTTCATATTTGTGCTGGGCCCTTGCCTGGCCCCCTTCTGTAGAGAGTAGACCTGCCCATTTGGAGGGGGAGGCAGTCATTACAGAGAAATGATGAGGCCACTCTGTTTCCCATCCCTGTTTCCCTCCCATGAATTAAAAAATACCATGAATTAAATACCATGAACTAAAAACACACAAACACATCTATTTATAAAACTATATGTTTATCTCCACCAGCAATACACATGTTCTTCTATATTTTGAATGCCAAATTGGTATCATATTTTTTGGAATGTTCTGCAACTTGCTTTTTAAAAACAACAACATTGTTTTGAGATGTGTCCGTACTAAAATATGTACATCTATTTCAGCTTCTGCTCCGTCTCATCTGCTCCCATTTAAAAATATTGAATCTCGGGTTTTAGATCCCGCCCTGGTTTGTGATTAGGAACCGTCACATTGCATGGCATTCTCTTTCACTAAGTGGAAGAGAGGGAAGTCCATGGATGAGAAAACCGGCCTAGAGAGACCCCGGAGGCCAGCCAGTCCCGATTCTTCTCTTCCCAGAGGAGGAGCTTGAGGCCCAAGGAGCTGAGGTGATTGGCACAAGGCTCGTCCAACAACTAGCAGCACAGCCCGGCTAGAGCCTCTGGTGCTGTCAGTGTTCACAGGTGTTTATGTGAGCACACGGGAAGTCCTGCAGGTTTCCTTTGGGAAGACAGACCTGATGATTTATGGAGGTGATATTACAGCATCTCCGTAAATCATCAATTGTCAGCCTGTCCTTTTGTAGTAAACAACATTGTGGAGAAGTCAGCAAGGAAATTAATCCTGTGCTGAGGCTAAAAATAGACATTGGACAATTATGTAGAAATGTATGCTTATGAAATGAGAGTAAGCGCTGTCAGCAGCGTTACGCGTTTGACAACTTTTCTTGTCTTGGGCGGTTATACTAGACCAAGTAGCAGGCCAGTTTCCCTAGAGGCTCTGTCAGTACGCTGTGTGGCCATAAAGTCCACCTTCGTTGTTCACAAGCATCTGGTCACATCTGATTAAATGAGCACCATTCTTCACCCCACACTCCAGTCAAGGCCTTGGTTGCATAACCAGTTTCCAGTTATACCCTGGTTATAAGGAACACAGATTCTTATTGAGCCAGGCAAATTACCGTATTGTCATAAATAGCAAAAAGACTCAATAAGCATTGTTAAATTCTGGAGGGGTCCGGCAGAGAGAATATCATGTACAAACATTTCCTTTCAACTTATAAAAGCAGAGTGTATTGCATTGTTATGGTTTATAAGAAGCTTAAGAGGAAAGACAGAGGGCTTCCTTATATATGCAGAATATAGAACATGAAGGTGACATCAACAGTATTCCAAACAAAAACAACCATCTTCCCTCGTCAATTCATTCAGTCCTGTGTAATTGATTCTTGTTCCACTGGATCTGGGGATAGTAGTCTATGAACCCATCTGCCCCTTGACTGCAGTTGTGGAAATCCTGACTTAGTCCACTGGTATGGTCTTAAAGTTCTTTAAGTGATGCCATCAGAAGCCTGTGCCCCTAAGCACATGGCAAGTAATCTTTTTCTGTGGGGCTCTGAGCAGCCATTCTACACGGAAGAGGAACCATACTGGCCTGTAGCTGATTGCAAAAGCTTTTAGGGAAGCATCAAATTCAAACAAGCTAAGGAATATATCCATGGATGACAAAAGACCTAAAATGACTGTGGTTAATTTATTACTGGTAATTTTCAGATATGAAAGGCTTGATGAGAATTATAACAAGACTAATGCACCAGACAAGAAATTTGTTTTTCCCCCATGTGTCATGCAAAAAAAAAAAAAAAGTTAATCCAAGCAAGTTTTAGAAAAATATCTACATACATAATCACAAAGGCTATTTTAACTTGGAGTGCGGGTGAATTTCCCGCCAAAATATAAGATGGCTCTGTCTTTTGGTTTTGTTCCATCCACCAAAAGGGTGGATTACAAACAAATATTTGGTAATACGCAGTTACAATCGGCCCGAGTTTACACGTTTCCCGCACTCCACCGCAAATCTATATGAACCGAGTTAAAGACAGCTCCCGCGGAGTACGCGCAATTCACGCGAGCCGACTTAACTCGTTTCCCGCACTCCAAGTGTTAAAAAAAGACAGCAACAATTATGTTTTATTTGAAAAAATGGATGAATATAGGAAAATGTTAATTTTCTAGAGACATACTATACTGCAAATAGCCAAAGCATGTGTACCATGCAATATACCATGAATGCTAAGCATATTCTTACCGTATGTGGTAGGGATATATAAAGACGATCAATAAGGAGATCTAGTAGGCCTGGTCCGAGTCACCTGTATATTAATAAAGCTATATGTAGATGACAGGAATCCCCAGTTGAAAACTACTGTCCTAGAACATGCTGCACGTATTGAAATAGTTTTGCCATCACTCAAAATTGCTTTCAACAGAAGCACTAATTCTACCAGAAAACGAGTATCGAAACGTTTGGTTACATGTCAGTTTTGGCTAGATCGAAATGAAAGGAGTAAAGTTATGACCAAGTTAACACTTAAAGCAAATAACTGAAGTTCTGATCGATAACCTGCACCATCATTGTCAAATGTCAGGCGAAGAAGCACTAGGATCAGTGTCTTTTATGCCTTATTTTAGTCAGGGGAATATTGTTAAGATGCCAGTGGAAGCTGTCCAGGTAAGTCTGTAAAGAGACTCCCCCCTAACTGGTAGAGACAAGTGCGGTCATGGCAGTGTTAGAGCATTGCATTTATAGAATGCTGTTGGGGTGGACTGTTTCACCTGGGTCATTCCCTGGGCAAGGGGCCTGGAGCAGAAGGCGGGAGTGGCTCCCCAGAAAAGCAGCGGCAGGTAGACCAGGACTACCTGACCGCCTTGTCCCTGCTGCAGCAGCAGCCACAGGGCATGTCGGGTCTTAGCGACTTGGAGCTGGCCCAGAAACTGCAGGAAGAGGTACCAACAGCAACAAGGGGTCCAGCCTGTGCCAGCACGGGGAGAGGAGCCCCACTTGGACACCCGGCGGGAGAGCGGCGGCCCAAGCAAGAGTCTGATTGTGTCCTCCTGTAGCGCTGGGTGCCCAGTGCCTGGTGTCCGGTGCCAGGCTGCCCTGCCTCTTCTTTCAGAGGCCATGGCTGTTTTGCTTGCTTTCCCAGGTCAACCCCTGAGATATGCAGGGAAACTTATTCATGGACTGTTGGGGATCCGAGCAGGAAGGAAATGTCAAGGTCACACTCAGTGACATCCTTGCTCACTCGCTGCGGTCTTCTCTGCCTCCCAATCACCCAGGCAACAGTGGGACTGCTGGGGTGAGGATGCCTGATCCCCAATCCCCTTCCCCCAGAACATCCCACTAATATACAGACTCGGGCTCCAGGCGGAGTCCCTGCCTAGAATGCATCTCCCCTGCGTCCCCCCTGACAGGCTGGGTCCTTCTGGCTGTCCTGCGGGTCTGTCTCCCTCTGCTTCAGGATTTGGTTTGGGTTTCTATCTTCATTATTGTAATGCCTTCCTAGGGGTTTGGAAATAATACTTGTCTCATGGAAAAAAAGGGCAAAACATTTATTTGCTTTGTTTATGTGCCTTTATTTTCTTGTCTCTAAGGTGTGAGTGGTAGTGACTGTCCGACTGACTGAGGTCACAGCGCTGTTGCAAAGATAAAATGAGGGATGGAGACAAAATAACTGGGATAGTTAAATGATGTTGAAACGCAAGCTATTATATCCTCAGAGAAATTCTCACACCCTTTCAATCCGTCTGATGCAGGCGACACAGCCGCCTGAGGAAGAACCGTCCCTGCCCAATGGCGAGGTCGTGGGCGAGGCGCAGAGCCCCGCAGAGGTAAGAGTGGAATTTCGGACCTTCTTCCCGCAGACCAGTCTCCTCAGAATGCCAACGTGGTCCTGATCTTTCTGTGTCTGTCTGTCCGTTCGCTATCATCTGTCTGTCCTCTGTCCTTCCTTCCATTCCTCCATTATCTGTGTCTGTCTGTCTATCTGATCTTTTTGAATCTCTAATATGATAAAGCCTTCTTTCCACACGAACAACAGAAAACAAACACTGCCTCGATGTGGAACCCTTTGGTGTCTCTCTGTAAACCGTAGGTGGGTGGAGACTCCTCACATGGGAGGTGATTACAGTGGGGCCTTGACTTACGAGTTTAATTCGTTCCGAGACCGAGCTCGTTAAGGAGCTTGTTAACTCAAATTACTCCATTAACTCAATGCAAAAAAATCGGCCGAGAGACAGCTGGTATCTCAAAAAAACTCGTTAGTCGGGACACTCGTAAGTCAAGGCCCCACTGTACTTCGTCAAGCTCGCCAATCAGACCTGTTGAATCTCACCCAGAGCTCCAATCAGCAGTTTCGATGGGGGGCAATCCTATACCCTAGGACAGTGGTCGGCAAACTGCGGCCCCTTGAGTGTGGCTCTTCCACAAAGTACCACGTGCGGGCGCGCACGTACAGTGCGATTGAAACTTCCTGGCCACACTCAAGGGGCCAAAGAGCCGCATGTGGCTCTCGAGCCTCGGTTTGCCGACCACGGCCCTAGGACAGCGATTCGAACCGCTGTGCTGCACGAACGTGTAAAACAGGCAGTGCCTGGCTATGTAGTCAGGGCACCGACCTCTTCCCCTTGGACGGTCAAGTCAAAAAATGACAACAGCCAACACAGTAGCTGTCTGGTGTGAATGAATCGAAATCATACTATTTAAAAAAGTCAGATTGGCAAAAAATGTAACATTTTTTGGTGTGCTGCAGAATTTTAGTAGTGAGTTATGCGGGCCAGGAGCTGAAAAAGGTGGGAAATGGCTGGCTGGGAGCCACGTGGCCGCATCAGCAGGAGGCCTGCATTTGCTTTGTGTGTGTGCTGTGTATCCAGATAAAGCCCACAGCACCTATGGCCCAGGTTTCCTGGGAGCTTGTCTCGGGTTAGTGACACAGTGGCTTCCTTTACGACCAGGGCACAGAGAAGGCCGGAGAAAGTGGAGAAAATGAGGCACCGAAAGAGGACAAGGAAGATGAGGGCGACCTCACCGAAGCCGGAGCGGAGAAGGTGAGAGTTCGCCTTTGCGCCGCATCCCACTGGCCGCAGCTCTGTTCACGAGCACGTGTGAGCTCCTACCAGGGGCAGGGGCCTTTCTGGGCACAGGGGTGAGGGTGGAGGTGCGGCGCCGGGAGTCTCGCCAGGGAGGAAGCAGGTAGTTTTCACCGGACGTGTTAACTGCTGTGGTGGAGGTGGGTACGGGGCTCAGAGGAAGTCGGAGGAAGGACCTGAACCCAGGTCTGGGGGGCAGTCTCCACAGGACTTCTGCGGTTTGTGGCGTTGTTAGGCTCAGGTGGGTTCCCTATAAAACAAGGGGCCTTATTCCTTGGTCACGATGCCAAGATGGGTGCCAGCTGCTTGCTGACGGGCGGGCAGCTTTTGGGAGGCAGGTCGGGGAGGGCTGAGAAGACCATGAACTCCCGCCGAAGACGGTCTGGGCTGCAGCTTCAGACCCACAGAGGGGACTTCCGGGCCCCTGACAACCGGGGCGGGGGGAGGGGGAGGTTGGAGGGCTAACGGGGCGTGTGGATGGTGCCCGAGGAGTGAAGGAGGAAAGCAGAAGGCCCCCAGCTTCCGGGCACTCTCTCGGGCAGGGCCTGCAGACCTGGGCATCCCGAGAGCTTTGGGAAGCCCTGGCAGCTTCATGCTTCTGTGGTTCTCATCAAGGTCCATGGTTTTAGGTTGTGTTCTCTGCCAATCCAACCTCTCCACAATCTCTCCAGACCTTGGCCGGTTGTGGTCTATACTCACCCCACTCGGCTTCCCCACCACCAGTCGGAGGAAGGGTGCATCCTCGGGGGGCAGGTTGGTCGAGGTCCTCGAGGGGCTCCGAGTCTGGTTCCTGGGGAGCCCGAGGACCCCGAGAAGCAGGTCTGCCCTGATCCCCAGCCACCAAGGCCAGCTGCCTCCCAGGCCTCCCCTGGCAGCCCTTGGCGTCCCCCACACCACCCCTGTCCTCACCCTGGCCACGTGCCACCCAGCGGCCTGCCCTGGCCCCTCCCCACCCGGAGGCTCCGACCAGCTTCCTTAGGAGAGCAACACTGTCTGTTGACCCCTCTCTACTCCTCTCAATAATCAGGTGATTTTTGTTAAAAACAGGCAGGAGAGGTAACGGAGGAGGGAGCAGAAGGGGACGCGGAGGGAGAGGAAGCTGAAAAAGGAGAAGAAGAAGCAGGAGAAGAAGAAGGAGGAGAAGATTCTTAGGCCTTTTGTGCTTTATTTCTTCAACGTTCCCAGGTAGCCGCGCCATTCCAAGGTGACACTTGTTCATGAGTAGCTCTCTGTGCTCCGCTTAGTGGTAATGGAAGCGGGTTCTAGTGCAGATCGATGCCTCTCGCCCCCAGGCCTGGGCTGCCCTTCCGGAGCCACAGGGCTGGTGAACTTGTGGACCCCCTGCTCGGGCACCGGCAGGGAAGCCTACAGTCGAGATGACTTCCAGGAAAAAGTGTTCCTTTGAGGAAGAGTTTGTTTGGTACTTATTTCCTCCTCTTTCTCTGCGTGACCTTTATTTACGTGAAGGTACAGGCAGTGTCCTGTTACCGGCCTTCTCTGACTATACTGACCAGAATACTTACATATTTATAGGGGAATGGCAATGGAGATCCGTAATGATGGCAATACATTGTAACTTTAAAAAACCCCAAAGCCAGCTGCTGCTCATGAAAACAAATATGGCTGGCAGCTATCTAGTGGTGAGAGCTGGATATCACATATTCTCTTATAAATATTAACCAGAACACTCATGTAGAAACACCGTGGAACACAGTGGCGTCACTTCAGGGGATCTTTGACAAGGGCGCTTGCTGCCTTGTAGTTTTAAGCTTCTGACCACGGAAAAGAATTCTGTAACGCTTCACAGTTTGGTAAGTGCCACCGAAATATATTCACAAGACAATGGCAGTATCTAACGACAGTGGATATCAGAACATGGGGGAGATGCTCGAACATCGTGGGCCGTACAGATAAGAAGGAATGTGTGAACACACCTAAAGATCGTAAGGGCTATAAAAATATCTGGTTTTTCAAGTCGTATAGCAAATCCCTATGTAAATGTGTAATTATTATCTGACCCTGCAACCAATTTGAGGTGGCAGTTTGCTTTGGTGCTATCAGAGTTCCTTTTGAAATTTACATTAAAATTAAGAATATTTTTAAGTCTCCTTAGTGTCCATATTTTGCCTCTACTGACACACGTAAGACAGATTTTGGGCCTGCTGATGTCAGGGGCGCCGGGGAAGGAGAGAGTGAGGGAGGAAGCCCTCAGCCACACAGTAGGTCTTCAGAAGGCTCTCTGATAAAGCTCAGAGCCTGTCTAGGGAAGGGTGGACGAAGGGTTCAGTTGGAGAAGAAACAAGAAATCAGTGCTTTGTAAATATCCGCTAACAAATAACTCCACTCTGTGCGCCAAAGACCAATTGGAATAGCACAGGTTTCCCCTCATAATATACTTACGCTTAGACATGAAAAGCTGCTGTAAAATCTTGGCGCTTAATCCATTTTGAGGGAATCTTAGAGCTGGTGAGAGGAGCCATCACAATTTACTGTTGGACCAGGAACGTTTCATCACTCATTTATTTAAATTGCACAGCGAATGTAGCCATCATCGGGTGTTTTCCCAGGCGGGCTCTTTCATGTTCTGGGCGCATGGATTTCTACTGTAAGGCCTAACGTTGTCGTTTTGGGCACGAGCCCTTTTATTTTATTTATTTTCCATCTGTTGTTATTGAGAAATCTGTTGTCAGTCTTCTTAGTGTCCTAATCCCATTTCTGAGGAATGGGCTGGGACCCATTTCTGTAAAAAAGAATATCAGCAAGGTTACTTTTCAGAAGTTCATCTGAAGAATGGTTGAAAAGGAAAATATACTCATATTTGCCCTTATACAAAAACCCCCCAAAACCACAAATAACCCCAAACTTAAAAACCAAACAAACCCGTAGTAAAAGACTCGTATGTACTGTTTAAATCCATTTCTAGTCACTGATGTAAGGTGCTTTAAGAATGACGCAGTGTTCATGTGGCAGCTATAAAACAAACACCGAGTGTGAACGGGCACAGCTGCGCGTCCTTCATGGAGGCGGATGGCTTCATAGGCTGATTGAAAAGAGAGCAACTGCAGCTGTGGCAGCACATTTGGCCAGTTTTTCTGGTGGCTTCTAGTTTGGAATCCAGTCCTCAGTGGTCTGTCCTGAGGTCAAAGCGCCTGACAGTGAAGGAGGGAGTCAGGCAGCTCCCTGCCCCCTACCCCTGACCCCTGCAGAGACTCAACATCCTCCTTTAAAATGCAACCTGGCAACGCAATCCAGCTGCCAAAGACAAGCCCATCTCATAGCTCATGGATAGTCCAGGCCTTTTCCTTGAAAAGGTGGTTTTCAGGGAGAGCATGGCAGTGCATGGAACTATGAGGGAGGCCTCATTTTGTCTTTGAAATGGATGCTCAGTTGGCGCCCCTGGAGAAGGCCGCTATTTACTTCTGCTTGAATCTATCTCGGGCCATTTATTATTGGTTGATTGACTGATTGATTGGTTGTAAGTGGAAACACTGTTTATTGAGAGCTAGATGGACTTCCTGCAGCAGGCCGGGAGGGGGCCCAAAATGGGTTGCCCTACCACGGCGCTCCGTTCATTCTCCATGAAAACCCAGCGGGACACCGTCATTGAAGCTGTCGCCTTCTTTAAGGTGTTTGATATGTGCTCATACAGAGGAAGATATAAACCTGGTTGATTTCCCAAGATAAACATATACTTTCCTATCTGCACTTGGGAACAAAGGATGAGTAGTGGGTTATGGAATAAAAGGCAAATATTTCCTTACATGATAGATAATGAGGATTGTGCCAGACATTCTCTGTCTCTCTTTAACAGTTGTCTCCTTCATTTCCCCCTTTCTTTTAGAAAACCCAAGTCATGAAGCAACACTTCAACTGTCTCGCCACAAACCAGACTCAACAAACGCTTTGGCCCGAAGCTAGCCCACCTCTCAGAACACCCGGGGCTCACCGAGGAATTGGACTATCTGACACAGTTCGGTGTACGTGGATCCCTCTTCCTACCATATCAACATGAAGTTCATTGTCAAGACAACACGTGCATACCTTCATGGGCCTAACATTTTGGGCCTTTGTTTAATTTTCTCTCTTCTTTTTTTTTGCTCTGCATGAGTAGACCTTCTTACTAATACCCTGAAAAAAAAATGATTTCAAAATATAGAATTCCTCTTTGTGCTATGCCAAGAGTAATTCTTTGTATGGGCCTTCTGCTACTTGTCTCAGAATTAGCTTTCGAAACGTAGCGCCTTCCAGAGAACAAGCATACAAATAAAGATGAATAGCAAAGACCTTGACCGAGGAGCATCGGTTTCTTAGCTTTTGGTCTCTCCTATCTGCCTGAACTCATGTATCTGTCGCCACATCCGAATCCTCAGCAGAACTTCTCTGTCTGCATCGGGTGGGTGTTTCCCGTCTCACTGATTATTTGCTCTGTGTTTTCAGATGACACTGATGGTCTTGTTACATCACGTTCTGTATCACACACTGCTGTGTGCGTCATCTCGGAAGCCTTATTCGGCTGTAACGCGATCACCCACACGTGTGGGGATAACAGTGAGGACAAATAAATTTGCAGCCCAGGGCCCTTCACACGTTTATGCGCTGAAGGGCGCGGCTGCTGCTTTTTCTCCTGCCGCTGATTGATTTGCAGCCACGGCTGCTCGTGCCGAGCCGGTCCTGTAATTTTGTCTCCTGATGCCAGAGTGTCTGTTCCCGGAGCTGGGCCGGCCGATGGCTTGTTCGCCAGGTAGGTGTGACGGTGTTTCTCTGCTCACCTGCCCCACCTCGGTTTGTCATGGATGCTTTTCTTTTTTGGACGGTTTTGTTGACATCCCTCTCTTCTTGGTGAATGTGCTAGTCCTTGTATTTTTCTTGCCGCAAATGTTGCTCCTGTCATGTGGCAATAGCTCGCCTCCTCGCTTGAAGGCGATTTTCTGATTTAAGGATGATCGTGGCAGTTCGACGCGGAGTGGCCATACACTTCTCCTGAGTCTGCCGCTGGTTTTGCAGCTAAGCCTGCTTGTGTCACTCGAGGCTGATTTCTACGGGGGCAGAAGCTGTGTGGATCCCAGGAACTCTGGAAAACAGCTCTTTTCTGGTTACCCTAGTAACTAAAGGAGGCATTTTGAAGTACATTAAGATCATTTTGTTCCAGATAGTTGACGGAGACAGCTTTGAAAGCCTTTCTCCCCTTGCTAAAAATAAGATGCGAGACGTCAGAGAGACAGAAATTCCTATAATTAAAAATTAATTTCCATTTGTTCTTCACTGCACTAAATTATGGCCCGCTAAAAGCATGTGTCATTTTATAACAATTGCACACACAAATAGGCCTTACGCTCCTGCTGTTCTTTGGGCCGGCGTTTATTCTTTTGTGATAGGGTGCGATGGAGATAGGTTTGTTTATCTACGCACTGGTTTTCCTCCTGTTTCTCACATTTGTAAATGAAGAAAGTATTTGTGCTAATAACAAGCAACAATAACCAGGCCACTGATTTTCTTATTTATTATTATTTTTTTCAGACCACTTATTTAAGTTGGATTACTTTTTTCTTATATTGTCTTTCTGTCACTGTAAAAGGAACATCCTAGGAGCGTATTTTTATTTATTCACATTTCATTTTCTTTGAAGATGATTGAAATCTACTAAACAATAGGTGTTCCCTGCCCCACTCAGCCTTTCCCACTTGTTTCGGGTTGAGATAATTTGGTACAAGGACCCAAGGTACACGCTGTGGATGCTTTGTGGTTGTCATCAGTTTTCTAGATTAAAAGTGAAAGCCATAGCCTGGCTGGCATGGCTCAGGGGTTGAGTGTCAACCTATAGCCATGATGGCGAACCTTTTGAGCTCGGCGTGTCAGCATTTTGAAAAACCCTAACTTAACTCTGGTGCTGTGTCACATATAGAATTTTTTTTTTACATTTGCAACCATAGTAAAACAAAGACTTATATTTTTGATATTTATTTTATATATTTAAATGCCATTTAACAAAGAAAAATCAACCAAAAAAATGAGTTCGCGTGTCACCTCTGACACGCGTGTCATAGGTTCGCCATCACTGACCTATAGAATAAGTGGTCTTGCAGCTTTGGTTTAGCCTTCAGTGGCTAGTGGGCCCAGGGGCACTGTGAGGATGGTCCCCAAATATGGACTGTGCAGCATCAAAATATAATGTAAAAAACCCACGTGCTTTATATAGGAAGTTTCTGGAAACTGAATTATGAATACATAAAGAAGAATAGAGAAAAACCCAAGCGAAGCAAAATCATCCTGCAGAAAAAGGATGATTTTGGTTCATTAGTCTTCAGGAGGCCTACACATTCAAAGTAACTTTTGTATTTTTTAACTAGAAAAGCAAGTGCACAGAAATTTGAAGGCATTTTTTTCTAGCCACTAAACAACAAGTGCTCCCTCTCCATTTGGCCTTTCCCCTTGTTTCCTTGCATTTTTTTGGGCTGAGGTCGTTTGGTACCAGGACTCAGGATATGCTCTGTGGATGCTTTGTGGTTGTCATCGGGTTCTTAGTTTTCTAATTAAGTGTGAGGGGTACAGAAGGAGGATGCACTGTACTGCCAGCAAAGGTCCTTGAGGAATATTTAAAACTGTTTTCTTTCAAAAGCAGTGCAACCGTTACACCTGTGCACCCATTGTAAGTAGAGTGACCCCAGTGTAGTGTAATGATAGAGAACGACCATTAGGTGGAGACAACACACAAGCTATTTGATAGAGTGTCACTGCCCCAGAGCTCCCGGCCACATGTGCAAGTGAGGGTGCTGTTTAAGTCAGAGGAAAAACTGTCTCCCACAGTGGCTGCACCAGTCTGCATTCCCACCAGCAGTGCAGGAGGGTTCCTTTTTCTCCGCGTCCTCTCCAGCACTTGTCGTTTGTTGATGTGTTGATGGTGTGAGATGGTACCTCATTGTCGTTTTGATTTGCATTTCTCGGATGATTAGTGACTTTGAGCATGTTTTCATATGTCTCTGGGCCTTCTGAATGTCCTCTTTTGAAAAGTGTCCACTTAGGTCCTTTGCCCATTTTTTGATTGGATTGTTTATCTTCCTTTTGTTAAGTTGTATGAGTTCCCTATAAATGTTGGAGATTAAACCCTTATCGGTGATAACATTGGCAAATATGTGCTCCCATGCAGTGGGCTTTCTTGTTGTTTTGTTGATGGTTTGCTGTGCAGAAGCCTTTTATTTTGATGTAGTCGCATTTGTTTATTTTCTCTTTAGTTTCCAATGCCCAAGGACCGTGGTCGGCAAACTGCGGCTCACGAGCCACATGCGGCTCTTTGGCCCCTTTAGTGTGGCTCTTCCACAAAATACCACGTGCGGGCGCGCACGTACAGTGCGATTGAAACTTTGTGGCCCATGTGCAGAAGTCGGTATTTTGTGGAAGAGCCACACTCAAGGGGCCAAAGAGCTGCATGTGGCTCGCGAGCTGCAGTTTGCTGAGCCACAGTTTGCCGACCACTGCCCTACGAGCTGTATCAGTGAAGAAATTGCTTCGGCATATGTCTGAGATTTTGTTGCCTTTGGATTCCTCTAGTATTTTTATGGTTTCCCGTCTTACATTTAAGTCCTTTATCCATTTTGAGTTTATTTTTGTGTATGGTGTAAGTTGGTGGTCTAGTTTCATTTTTTTTGCATGTATCTGTCCAATTTTCCCAACACCATTTATTGAAGAGACTGTCTTGACTCCATCGTATGTTCTTGCCTCCTTTGTCAAATATTAATGGAGCATATTGGTTCGGGTCGATTTCTGGGTTCTCTATTCCATTGATCTATATGTCTGTTCTTGTGCCAGTACCAGGCAGTTTTGAGAACAGTGGCTTTGTAGTATAGCTTGATATCTGGTATTGAGATCCCACCTACTTTGTTCTTCTTTCTCAGGATCGCTGTGGCTATTTGGGGTCTTTTTTTATTCTAGACAGTATGGAGTTTCCTCAAAAAGTTAAAAATGGAACTCCCATTTGACCCAGTGATCCCACTTCTAGGAATATATCCCAAGAAACCAGAAACACCAATCAGAAAGGATATATGCATCCCTATGTTCATAGCAGCACAATTTACCATAGCTAAGATTTGGAAACAGCCTAAGTGCCCATCAGCAGATGAATGGATTAGAAAACTGTGGTACATCTACACAATGGAATACTATGCTGCTGTAAAAAAGAAGGAATTCTTACCATTTGCAACAGCATGGATGGTACTGGAGAGCATTATGCTAACTGAAATAAGCCAGTCAATGAAAGAAAAATACCACATGATCTCACTCATTTATGGATAACAAAGACCATTATAAACTGATGGACAAAAGTAGATACAGAGGCAGAGCAGCATCGAACAGACTGTCAAACTACAGCGGGAAGGCCGGGGAGGGTTGCGGGGGGGGCAGTAAGAGATCAACTGAAGGACTTGTATGCAGGCATATAAGCATAACCAATGGACACAAGACACTGGGGGGTAGGGGAGGCTGGGGGAAGTTCAAAGGGGGGAAAAAAAGGAGACATATGTACTACTCTTTATAATACTTTAAGCAATAAAACAAAATTTAAAAAAAATGGCATAGCTGATAGTGGGCCCTTTACTGCATGACCTAAAGTCCATGCCCTTAATCACTAAACTATTAATACCTATCATATATAGGTGCTCAATAATTATTTAATAAACTATTAAACCACAAAAAAAAATCAGAGGAAAAACTAACACACAACCCCTCCACACACCAGTTGTCAGCTAATTAGTGTATTTTTATAAGGTTTTTATCTTATTTGGATAGAATGCTATGCCTTCTTCAAAGCCATTAAAACCAATGATTGTTTGGACTTCACAGCTTTGCGTTACACACAGAAGTCTAATGAAGTTGGCAAATGATCGCCTACTGACAATTTGATGACGATGTAGGACCTCCTGTAGCCTATAAATGGGTCTAGCTCAAGCATGTCAAACTCAAAGGCTAACACGGGCCAAATAAACAAGGTTTAAGTTGATGTGGGCTGAAAAAAAACAAAAGCTTAAATTTTCATAGAAACGTAGGTTTATTTTGACAGAGACATGCTGAATACAAAGGGCTGATATAAATGAGTCATCATTAACATAAAATAATAGAACATTTAAATAAAAATTAATATTTTTTCTTGAACATTAACTTACCAGACACTGAATAATTGCACAAATTAATAAGCGTAAAGCAAATAAATCTATTTTTCTTGTTCTCTGAAAGCAAAATATTTCCTGTTGTGTACACCAAACAAGTCAGTCCAAGATTAATGCCGTGGCCATCGGCTGCT